ATAATAATAATAATAATAATAATAAAAAAGAGAAATCACTTAATTTATAAAATGGTTGCTCGCTTCCCCCCACTGTGTACTTTCACAAGACAGAAAGATGAGTGATGATCGCCTTTCCACAAGGAGAGTCTTGCCAAACATCAAGACGTCACTGTGTGGCTTGACAGGAGGCACGGGCGGGGACTCTGCGCACGCCGGAGTACCCACAGTCCACACATGGGCCTGCAAGCTTCCCCATGCGAGAAGGATCGAGCATGTTTGAGACAAAAGTATAACCCAGAGGCCAATGGCTCCTGTTGGTATGGGAGGGGGCTCCCAACTTCATGACCCCCACACCTACATTATAGACATAGACCAGTTAGCGCACCAGTCTACCCTTTCTGTGGGGTAAGTGTCCTGCAAGTTCTACCCCTGTTAAGTGGCTGGCCATCCACCCCCAAAGACCCACCCAACCATCTGACTCACGAGAGCCTCGTTTGGACCCCTCTGCCTGTAGTGGCTGGCTGCTTGTTCAGCCACAGAAGAAGAGATTTTACACACCAGTGCAAAACATTTGGACTGAGCATTTGCATGAAAACTGAGTGGGTCCCCCATCGTCCCCGTTCCCCCCCCCCCCCTCTTTTGACCCCCGCTTCTGGCAAACAAGGCAGATGGCCTCTCTGCTGGAAGTGGGGCTTCCAAGGGGGTGAATAAGAGGTAGGATGAGGAGGGGTGTTCAGGCCAAACCGCCCTCCCCGCTTGGAAAGAACTTCGTGTACCAATAAAAAAAACAGAATCAGGCAGATTCCGAGAGCTGCAGGGGAGAGAAATTTCCACGAAAAGGAGGAAACTTGACCCACGCTGGGCCCTTAACCTTCTCTTCTCTGACATCTGCGTAGCTAACCTGGATTGTTCCCACTCTGTTCAAGAGCGGCTTTGTTATGGTGCAAAGAGCTGCCCGTAAAGCACAAGAGAAGCACTGCAGCAGGCAGGGGGGGAGTGGGGGGCTGCAGCTGTTACACTTTGGCTCTGCCCTGCCGGGACTGGGAGGGTGTGGTGGGGGACGGACAAACTGATGTGCCTCCTGCAGGAGGGAGAGGAACGGCAGGCTGGGGAGGCATTTAACTCCCCCCCCCCCAACACACACACACAGAGGAAAAACCAGGACCTTGGCAAGCGTGCCGCCACCTCCATCCACCCCCCATTAGTTAAAGTGGCAGGCTTTAACGAGTGCCTTTTATGACCTCAGCTGAGCTGCTTTTCTCCCCCCGCCGCAACCACAAATTTTACTGCACTTCTCCCCAAAGTGTAAAAAAACCTCAGCTGGAGAAGATTTTTCATGGTCCTGGGCGGCTTCACTGAAGCGATTCTTCCCCGGCCCAACTGGCAGACTTGTCCTCTG